CACACAAAGGCGTACGCTACGCCAGGCTTAAGCCAGCCTTACGCCGTGAGTGTGAACATAGCCTATGAGCTCCTTCTAGTCTTTGAGCTGACATGAAGGTTATCATCTGGAAATTATCTTATTGTGGTATAACAATGTGTATTTCTTTAGGCACAAGTGCCAAGGATATTCCAATCAGCAAACTTAATCACTATCCTAGGTGACATATCCATATTGATTGACAGAGCAACATTTTAGTTTCATTATCATTTTCACTGAATGAGAATGTTGAAACGCAAAAAAATGGTCAAGTAGATTATCCTATTTTGGGAGCTAGTGCCCCCTCACTTAATCATGGATCAAGATTTTCAAAGAAGTTATACATTACAGTAGAAAACCTCTTAAAATCAAATATTTCTAAACATTTTAAAGATGAAAAAATTTTAAAAGCTGACATGACTTGTGTTCTTACCAATAACTTTGACATTTGACCCTTTGGCTGATGCCATAAGAGACGCTTGTACAGTGCTCACTCCCTTTTCTGGATACAGTACAACGACTGATGTGTTTTGACCTTTCAAAAAATCATAGAGGAGCTTGAAGTTTAGTCATATACTGTATATCATGGAATGATCGGTTCTGGGTGAGATAAAACATAAAAACTTCCATTGTGAGTATGGCATTGTCCCCATATCTGTTCACACAGTGACAAAAGTTAGTTTTTGAGAAAACCTTCAAACTCTTTCCCAATATTTGTTCCTCAGTGCATGCTTTATCAGTTGCATGCCCCCTACCCAGATTTTTTTCTGGGTCTGCCCCTTTAAATGCCACACATATGTTGCAAATTTTCATTGGATACAATACCTGAATATTTACTAAATCCATCAAGTACAGCACTACCAGTATCACCTGAAGTTGCGACAAGTATCAGGTACCTGTAAAAGAATGTTTGTATTGTCTTATAGTACCCACAGTACAAATGAAAAACAGGGCCCAGGAGGACCCAGAATTAATTTGGCCAATATTCAAATACATTGAAATCATGACATTAATTATAGAGAATGATTATGGGATGACTTGTAAATGCACCAAACAAAAAGTTATGAGTTTATAACAGAAGAAAGAGCCAAGGAAGCCTCTGAACCTGAAGAACAGAGTATGTTGGCAAGGCTTTTGTCTGTTAATTGAAAGGCTAATATTTTGAAAACTTGTATTTTTCCCTAGGCTTTCTGCACTGCTTTTCTACTTACCATGCACGATATAAATGGATACCTGTACTGCAGTAGTAACCACGAAGATAATGGACCTTTCCACAGTGTCAACAACTGACCATTCAGAACTGGGCCAGAAATACACGCAAGTCCCACAAACAAACGTGTTGTCCCACAAAACGCATGTGTTTGCTTATGTTTTTACAATGTCGTTTTGTGGGACCTTGAAACAATATTAAAGTGGCGTGGAGGAGAATGGTGTATTGAGAGTAGAGTAAGAGAAAATTGCACATTGTGCATGTTACCAAAATGCATCTAAGATTGAGGGAACTTTACAAGTTAATAACCTTTGGAATAAACTGCCGCATATTCATTTATTCATTTATTGGTCATAGACAATTAGTAGAACACTGAACCTAGAGGAAATGTATTAAAATACAATCATCATCAATCATAAAATGTCCTGAAAATTATCCTCACCTTGTGTTTGCAGATTCTCTTTTAACCGCATTTGAAAAAAACTGCGGCATTAACTGGAGAGCAGCATCTTTGAAAGAAGCTGAAGGTCCATGGAACAACTCCAGAAGATGTTGGTTCTTCTCTAAAGGAACAACTGGAGTGACAACCTTACAGTTAAAACTGTCAATGTTGTAAGCAAGATGGACCATGTTACGTAATTGTTTTGGATGAACATCTGAGGGGTGAATTAGACTTTCTAGGATACGAAGAGCTCTCTCTGGATATGTCATCTCCACTAGACGTTGCCACTGCTTCATTGTGAGGAATGGCATTTTACTTTCAGGGACATATAGACCATTATCGTGTGCAAGACCTTGTATGACAACTTGATTAAAATCTGCAGATGTCCCACCAGGAAACTTATATCCTCTTGTGGATACATAGCCAGTTCTGTTACGGAACCTTTTAACAGCTTGGTAGAGTTTTTCAGCGATGCTGTCAAAGGATTCATCTCTTTCACAAATTACTCTGACATCATAGTTTTTCTCATAGAACTGCTGTCGATATGCTAGGATCTCTTTCATTGTCATTCCTGCACCCTGGCCAACGATTCTGTTGACTTTCATGGCTTCAAGTCGTTCAAGAATGTCCATACTGTTGGCATCGATAAAAACGACTACTCCGGATTCAGCAATATAACGCATTGCTTCAGGGTGAAGCGGATTAGAACCAGTCAGGGAGACGATTGTGTTGGAAGCTTTAAACTGCAAGAGTGCTTCTCCTTCAGCCTCTAAAAATCTTTCCCCTCCAACTTCACTCAGCTAAAGTTAATAAAACCACACGTTAATAAAACCACACATAATGTTATCTTGTCCAAAAAATAGTTTTAAAAATGAACAGTAATAGTCATCACAAACAATAATAATAATTCTTTAAACTCTGTCCACCTATCAGATTTTATGTGACTGATTTGTATGATTTGCCCATGTATGGGCTTGTTGCACCCAAATATGGGCAAATTTGATAGTTTGGACAAAGCGTTAATGATATCTTTTATTTAAACTTTGAAAATCTGGAATGATGTCCCACAGAGGAGAATTTTGTCAAATTTAGTAAAATTCAGTAGTTAAGTGTTATTACATTATCATTGCAGTGTAAGACATCTAAAAATAGGTTGTGTCTATTGCCTTGTACTGTACTATTGTAATTCATTACCATTCATTTCCTTATTGTAACATAATTAATACATAGAATATTTATTTGACTATTTAAAACAAACAGTGTAAACCACATTGGTAATTATATAAACACAAGAGACCATGTAGAATTCAAGAGTAATGTTTGGAAGCTTCTAGATACTTAAGTACTGTAGAAACAAGAAGCCTATTGGGTAATTATGATGTAATGTGACAAATGAGGAACTTTGGTAATATAGAATGCTTCGGATGGCTCTGGAGTTCTAGGGCTCATGTATACAAGATGAGAGGTTTTTCCTTCTGGAGCTTTTTCTGAAACAGTTCGTAATCAGGGGCGGATCCAGAAATGTCCAAAAGGGGGGGGCCGGAAGCGGGCCGAAAGTTGGGCCGATTGAGACAACACTGTCGTAGGGGGTCTGGGGCATGCCCCCGCGAAATTCTTGTGTTCTAGATGCCCGAACATAACATTTGAGGCATTCTGGGCTATCATTTTTTTCTTTTTCTCTCTTTTTTTTCTTTTTTTTTTTTTTTTTACCTCCCTAAATCCGCCCCTGGTAATTGTATACTTCTGCACACAATGTTTGATTTCAAACATTTAGGTAGAACCAAAGAATTGAACTCTTGGTCTCGGGGTTATGTCGTTGAAATGCAATCCTCTTATTATTAAGTATCTCCAAAAGTACTACCATGATCTAGAGGGCGTCCTTCAAAAGGCGTTCTCATCAAAAGTGAGCTGCGTATCTATGATGCATGTTCAAGTTTTGAACATTTTTTCTGCGCCTCCTACCTCGTGGTAGTAGTACCCATCATGCACCTCCACCCGATTTACTCACTCTCACAAGGTTAACTGCCAGACGATAACATAGTGCATATGCCACCGAGGGGGAAATGGACACTACAGACACTCAGATATACCAGGATGGTGTCTGACGGGAATAATGTACTTTTACCTTATCAGAGCTTCATGGTAAAAGCAATATTGTTCTTGTTTTTATGTTTATTTTCACAACAATAAAATTAGAATAAACCTTAAACTTAAACTATAATATTGATAAAAGATTATATTCAAAATGTATGTGCCAAGAAGTCAAATACTCACTTTCTGTGACACTTTCATCTGCCAGAAGGGTTCCAGATGATCATCATCAATATCC